CGAAGCTTCGTCCGCCACATCAATGGCGATTTTCGCTCGCACTTGAGTCTCTGTTTTCTACATAGTTTAAAAAAAAACATTACTAAAATTGTACTTTATAATATTCTTATGTACTTTAAACAAATAACTTTTATCCTGGACTGTATCTTGTAAAGTCCATTGGTTTCTGTTAAATAAATATAAGCTGCTGTGCTAAGGAATTGCTGAAGAAAGTTGTGATAACGCAAGTAGGACTTCAGCTAATTATCATTGGGGAGATGACATAAAATAACATGTTCTTAGTATTGTTTCTGTCCTTGTCAATTTTGGGAGAGGAATATTGAGGAAATTTTATTACGTCACGGGCATGATTATGCATTCCTTGAATCTGAACCAAAGCTTGCTCCACTTTCATCATTTTAGTCTCGTGAAATTTGGGGAAAAAAAAATATAGAAATAGCCTGATTTACAACTGGGATTGAAAAATAGTCACAGTTTCAAAGTAATCAAAATTTAACCATTTTTTCATGTAAAGATAAAATTTGAACAAAAATACCCTAAAAATTTGAAAAAATTCGGACATAATATGCTGGAATTCGAATTTTTTACATATGAGATTCCAGCATAATGTGTTGGAGTTCCAACATAATATGTTAGAAGTTTATACACATGAGCAACATAATCCAGCATATTATGTTAGAACTTTTCGTGTTCCAACTAAAATAAAGACTATTTTTAATGACTTTGCCATTGACTCTTTTTCGATTAGTAATTTGGCAAGCCCTTGCTATTTTCACGTGAAATTTGCTACCACTCCATATAGTGATATTGACCTCATTTATTAAACCATTCAACCATCTTATAAAATCTCTTCGCAATTAACTTGAATCTTTTAATGTACGTTATAAAGAAATTCTCTCTCTCCTGTGTAGACACTCAACTTACAAGGTGTCACAAACAAATTGACGCCTACAGTATATTTTAATTCCATCAAAGTTCTAAACACCATACTTCTTTATTCTCCTCTTTTTAGTGTAATGATCAAAATAAGAGAATTATAACGAGTTATTTACGTGCCTTGACACCACCAATACCAAAGCACCCATTTCCCTACTAATAACCAAGAAAAGTTTACGGAAAAATGTTACTATATAGCCGCTTTTAAAATAATAATCGAAAAATATATTTTTTTTGTATAGTAATTGTATATTTCTGTATGTTATATACAAAAAAAATATACAAATTTTATACACTTTTGTGGCTAACGAATGTAAATAGTTTTAGCGGCAGGCTAAAAGTGATATGTATTAGGGATCTTTATACAAATAGCCAGCCAAATTCATTATTTACTTTTTTTAGCCTTCTATATAGTTTATACATTAATTATATATAATTATACATGTATAATACTAAATTATACTTATATTATACCTCCGCCGGCTATTTTTAGTTTAAGTGATTGGGAGGACGGCTATTTAGGTTAATTCTTCTATTTATTACGCATTAGCCTTGTATTGGGCTACTCCTACGATATATGGCAGACGTTCATTGCCTTGGGCTCGTGCCAATGGATTATAAAGTGAAAATGATAGCAGGTAGCCATTTTTAAGCATGTTTAAAATATATTCACTTTACAATATATTTAAAGATTAGCCAATTTTACTCAAACTTCAGGATACGACGTCCTAGAGTTTAAACCTCAAAGTTCAAACTTCAGGACACCTTGTCCCAAAGTTCGAAAATTATGTCCAGAAGTTCGAATCTTATGTCCTGAATTTTAAATTAGTAGTTGAGAAATTCAGGATACTTAGTCTTGAATTTCAAATTAGCAGCTCAAAAATTCAGGACACTAAGTCCTAAATTTTCAAATTTAGGATATTTAGTCATGAAATTTGAGTAAATTAGCTAATCTTTAAATATATTATAAATTATAAATATATTTTAAAGAGCGGGCTTAAAAGTGGCTATTGCTGCACTTCGCCCATTTATAAAGCTGTACTCAGTTCTGTCGGCCCAAAATCATAAAGGCCGAAATACCCAACAAATTCAACCAATCAGAATGAATTACGTGTCCCATTCAAATACCACAACCGTTAACGGTTTCTTATTTCCCTCCATTAACTCTCAGCTGTACGAAAACCTAAACACGAAGCTCACCAATGGTTCACACGAAAACCCTTTAACCTACTCAATCCGGCGCACGTTAGCACAGTTGTTGTTTGGCCGTGTTTCTCCCATGGCATCTCCGATCCCTGTCGTTCAGTCGGGTCGGATCCGGGTTCTGAAGCAAGGATCAGGACCGTTGGTTGGACCGGTAGTGTACTGGATGTTCAGAGATCAACGAATAAGAGATAACTGGGCATTAATCCACGCCGTTGATGAGGCTAACAAAGCAAATGTACCAGTAGCTATTGCTTTCAATTTGTTCGATCAGTTCTTAGGTGCAAAAGCTAGACAATTAGGGTTTATGCTTAGAGGCCTTCAAAAACTTCATAGCAACCTCGAAAGTACTCTTCAAATTCCCTTTTTTCTATTTCAGGTAAAAGATTTGTTATTTTTTATATCTTTTCATATTTAGGTATACTTATTATTTATCTTGTGCGTGTTTACAGCTTAAATTCTTCTTTAGTAGCATGTTTTTAGTTAATCAGCAGCTGAAATTGTCGCTAACACCTATATAGTGTAAAACATGTTTTAAGAAAAAAGAAGTACTAACTTAATTATCCGTAAAGTAGAAATGTATTTGAAAATTGTTCGTTTCACTTGTTTATTTTGAACGGCATGGATAAATTGAGTTACAGATCATTTCTAGTTTTAGAGAACTCCTATGAGTATTAGCATTAGAATGAAATGAGCACGAATACAGCAGAATGGATATTGAAAATTCGTAGAGCTGACTCCAGCTAGTTTGAGATTGAGAGTAGTTGATCCATTAATTGATTGATTAGTTATGATCAAACATCATGTTGTGTTTCATTATCTTTTCCGCTGCTCCATTGCATATATGCATATGCTTCTAACTTTTAATTTGCCCATGATTTTGTACCGAAACACGGAAGATAACCATTAGATTGATATTTATTATGCTACATTTTCCATATGTTCTTTTGTCCTTACTTATTAGAAATCCTTTTTAAGCTCATTATACAATGGTTTATCTTGAACAGGGAGAAGCTGTAGACACAATTCCCAATTTTCTGAAAGAATGTGGAGCTTCTCTTCTAGTAACGGATTTCTCACCTTTGAGGGATGTGAGGAGCTGGAAAGAAAAAGTTTGTGAGAGTGTGAGTGAATCGGTAACAGTACACGAGGTTGATGCGCACAATGTTGTTCCTGTTTGGGTGGCATCAAATAAATTAGAATACAGTGCTAAAACCATACGGGGTAAAATAAATAAGCTGCTTCCTGAGTATCTAATCGAATTACCTGCAATAGGGCCTCCCAAGATAAAGTGGTCGTCTTCAAACCCTCCAATAGATTGGCCAAAACTAATTGCCGATGTCGTAAGGTCAGATATTCTCTCTGGTCTAACAATGTAGTTAACTTTTATTTTTGGCCCACAAATGCTATAAATTGACCAGTGCACCAGGAAAGGAGCAGAAGTTCCTGAACTTGAATGGTGTGAACCAGGTGAAGATGCTGCATTGGAAGTGCTTATGGGAAGTAAAAATGGGTTCCTGACAGTTAGGTTGAAGAATTATTCAACAGACCGGAACAACCCTCTGAAACCCCAAGCACTTTCTGGTCTCTCTCCTTATTTGCACTTTGGGCAGATGTCAGCACAGCGATGTGCTGTAGAAGCAAGCAAAGTTCGGAAACTTTATACCCAGGTTGTGGAACCATATCCATCTATCTATGTTTGTGCTATAATTTTGCTTACTATGAAATGCTTTCTTCAGTCTATAGAATTAGTCGCGAATTACTTGCCTCCTGTTGTGGTACATTTTGTTCCAGGACGGAATTGTGGGGGTAAAGGAAAGAAAATTGGGCATTTTGCTTCACATCGGTGAAGTGTTGATGATTTTTCCCCCATTTCTTTGTTATGGTTGGACAGAAACCTAAGGTAGCATTGTTCCTCCCTTCGTTCCAGTTTTGTGGGAGTTGTGGAGTGATACTCCTTTCTCCACTTCATCTTAAAATTAAAGTGGCATTGTCCTCACTTTGTTCCAGTTTTGGGGGGGAGTTGTGGAGGGATACTACTCCTCTCCACGTCATCTCAAAATTAATTAAAGTGGTATTGTTCCCTCCCTTCATTCCAGTATTGAAGGGAGCTGTGGAGGGGTACTCCTTCTCTCCACTTCATCTCATCTTTTACTTTCTTATCAAATGCTGCAAATGAACTTTGCCGGTCCACATGTACTTCCACTCTTCCTCCTCTTTACACCACAACCAAACATGGCTTTAGTTACAGTTGGCTCATTGACTGTAAGATAAGCTCTGCCATTGTGCAGTGCGAGTATTTCAAACATATTTGGAACTTTTAGTAGTTGCTCTCTTTTTATTAAGTTTCATATTGCCTCAAGATTGAGTATCCATTATCAGTGTCCTGATGTGAAGCTTATTTGGTTAATTATTGCTTATGCAGGCAGTTGACACATTTCTGGAGGAATTGATTGTGCGCAGAGAGCTTGCTGATAATTTCTGCTACTACCAGCCTCGATATGATTCATTACTGGGTGCATGGGAATGGGCACGCAAAACCTTGATGGAACATGCATCTGATAAGCGTGAACATATATACACGTGAGTAAAATGCTTTCTTTTGCTTTTTCAGTAGATAGAGTAAGCAAGAAGAAGAAGAAGAAGAAGCTTCTTAACTATATGTTCTTCGATTCTTAAATTGATAAGAGTTTGTTTGAAGATGAAACAAAAAGCTTGTCGTAAGATGCTAGTTACTACTTTTACCTGGTATTGAAGTTGGAAGTGAATATGGTCTTTTGCAGGCGAGAGCAATTGGAGAAGGCACAAACTGCAGACCCTGTAAATTACCTTTTCATCTTATTTTTACATTAACAAGCAGTGCTAAAAGAGTGATAATATTATGTAGTGAGGAAAGAGTTACCAATCTGATTTGAAGATCTTAGCATGGCATTGCTATTTCATCTGTTGCTTTTGGGCTTCTAGCAGAATCCTCCTCACATCTTGCAGTGACATGGTCTTCTTTTTTATGTTTCAGTTACTATGCATTCTACCATGTTTCCAGCTTGTCAATTGATTAATTATTCTTTTTGGGTTCAGCTTTGGAATGCTTCTCAGTTAGAGATGGTTCATTATGGGAAAATGCATGGTTTTATGAGGCAAGTAGTGCTGCTGGGCATTTATGTCTTGATCCTGCTAGTTGAATTCATGACAAGTTATTCCACCCTGATATGTTATCTGGTCTTCTCCTTCACTTAATTATGCTTGTTTCTTGTATTGTATCTGTTTGGTTTTCCAGCCTGTTTAGAACATGTTTAGGAAATATAGTATAATTCCATATGAAGTTATATGGAAAAGAACCTTGTCTGGATTAACTAGATTTCTATGTAGGTTTCTATCTGAAAACTAAAAAGGAAGCGAAATGAAAAGGTAATTTGATGAATAGATCTTATCAGCTAACATAGCAGGGGTTTTCCATTTCTTGGTGTTTCTCACTTCTCTTGCTAACATTAATAAGGATAAAAACTGGTGCATAATTGTATAGAACAAGCCAGCTTATATTAGCATGTTGTTTTCATGCAGTTAAATGTTTTATGGCTACACACTTTTTGATTCACCAAGAGATTGGGATCTTCTACTATTTTTCTGTTCTGTGATTCTACTACTGTCTGCTATTTTTCTCAATAACTTTCTTCTTTTATCAAGACGTAGTGCTTAAATTCTCGTTTGTTCAGCTTCTTTGACCAAAACCAGAAAAGGGAAAAAGATGAACAAAGTTATTGCTTTTTGTTGAGTTCCAGATTGCGAATTTTTATGCAGGATGTATTGGGCTAAAAAGATTCTTGAATGGACAAGTGGACCGGAAGAAGCTCTGGCTATCACAATATATTTGAATGACAAGGTAATATGCCAACAGTGATTGCATTTGGAGATGCAGTAGAGTTCTGATCTGAATCTTCTTCTTTGCAGTATCATATAGATGGAAGGGATCCTAGTGGTTATGTTGGATGCATGTGGTCAATATGTGGCCTACACGACCAGGTTCTTAGTGCATCATGCTCAATCCCTTCAATGTCGCATTAAACTAAATGAGTTATTTTCTTTATTACTGATCACGCTCTTATCCAAATAATAACATATGATTACCTCTAGGAAAATACTTACTTACACTCAGTGTACACATCAAATGAAGCTTTGCAAAATCTAAATACAAAGTGTTACCAACATTGATAATTACTTATCAACCCAATAATAACGCTCGTAGTTAACCGGTGGGAGTGGTGGGTAGTCAACTGCTTGTGTGGTCCGGGTATGAGGAGAATAAGTTTGTAACATTAGTGAAACTACTTTGTATCACATTTTGTTTGCTTGAATTAAGTAACTGAACTGAGACATTTCATGTTTGGCCTTTAGGGTTGGAGAGAGCGTCCCGTATTTGGGAAAATACGGTACATGAACTATGCAGGTTGCAAGAGGAAATTCAATGTGGATGGATATATTTCATACGTTAAAAGACTAGTAGGTGAAAGCAAGAAAAGAAAAGCAGAAGTATATTTCGACAACAAGGCAAAGGAACTGCGTAGTTAGCATTTTGAGCTCCCCAAACCTGTTATTTTATGGATACTAACTACTGATTTGAAGGAACTATTATATCCCCAAGGGCGAAAACTTACATTAAAATCATGGATTGTTTGGCAAAATATAATGTACGTCATTGTAATATTTCCCTTTCCCTTTTTCCTTCCCGAGTGAGGGTCTGCCGGAAACAGTCTCTCTGTCTTTTTAAAGGCAGAGACAAGGTATGCGTACACTCTACCTTCCCCAGACCCCATTTGTGGGATCACAGTGGGTTTGTTGTTGTCATTGTACTATTTGACGATTCACTCCACTTTTTTGTTTACACTGGGTTTGTTGTTGTTGTCATTGTACTATTTGACTATGCACTCCACTTTTTTGTTACTTGGAAAAAATAATACGTACTAGTTTTAGTCTTGTATGCAATTTTTATGTTTACTTACTACTAGTGGCGACTTCGCTGACCCAGGGGCGGATGCACCTTGGTCGAAGTCGTCGGAAATTTTTAATAAATATATGTATCTAATTAATATGTAAATACAAGATATGATACAAAAAGGCGTAAAAGGACAACACTAGGAACAACTTGCCCTTCAGCTTGCCTGGTTAAGTGCATGCCTCAGACCCCTCTTAGAGGGGTCATGAGTTCGAATCTTTAGCAGCTTGTGAACTAGAATTTGCAAATTCTGAAAATTGGGCATGTTGCTTGTGTTTCCATTATAAGGCACCTTGCTACTTTTTTCTTTCTCGACGATAAAGTTGAGTAATAGTACTAATTTACTGAATCAAATGGTTGTTGATTTTTTGAATGGTTATTTGGTGCCTTATTAAAAAATTGATATTATTTCTAATGAAGTTATTATAAATAAATTTCAGAAAGTGAATACTCTGAATAGACTTATAGTAATATACTCGAATTGCATTTTATTATTATAATATGTTTTGTTAATATGAGGTCGTTATATAAAGATTTGTTTACTTTTACTTTTTTAAATATCGACACCACTTATGAATAGTTCTGCGTATGCCCCTACCGCTGACCCCTACTTGTTTAGGACTAATGCGTCGTTGTAGTTGTTGTTACTTACTAAGTAGTAATGTCTACTACACATTTAAGAAGTTTTTTGGTTCTTTGAATTAGGAAATCTTCATTTTATTATTCTCTAAATGTCTAAATTCTGTGCGGAAAAGAGGTGAAAAAAGAAACGTTTCTAAGAAAAGAAACACCAAATTATAGTAGCATTTTTCTTCCAAATGGCCCTCTATATTAACAGAAATGACATTATACACACAATGCAGTCTTGAATGGGACCTATAAAAATGATACAACACACCCAAAAATCCCTCTTTTTTTTGGCTCATAGATAAAGCATAACTTGTGGCATAACATTCTAGGGAATCTGAATGCTCCCGCAACTCTGCATTACCCTTCAGCGTGCCAGACATCTACCAGAAGACGTCAAAAATGGAAATGAATCAACGTAGTTCGGTATGGTTACAATTGGAAAGACAGCCTCGGAACTAAGAGAATTTGCTTGCAATCTCCACCAACAATTCATTTCTAGATCTGCAAATCATCCAATGAGAGTTCATCTGCAGTCAAGAGCTTTAATTTCTGCAACAAAATCAACCATCACAAGTCAGTGTGAGCATTTATATCTTAAACTTCAACCCTGATACTGCATTATCGGAAACCCAACATATAGAACTTGAAAGGGTACGATAAGTTGAGCACTACAACTAGTGCTCCAATTAACAAATCATGGAGTCCAGAGATTCACGTGTCTCCAGCTTTTCTACAAATGTTATTTGTGGTCCAAAATAATGCAAGAGAAGCAGGTACGCAAGAAAAATGTAAAACAAGACTCAGGAAAGGACAGGTCTTATCGAAGATACTCGACGCGATCGCCTTCCATTTTTACAGAAACCAACAATTAGCAGTGTGGGAGGAAGCAGATGGAGTGTCATACCGTAATGAATTGTGGAGGGTCATCGAGGCTCGATGAACCTAGAACTACTTCTCTCTTCAGCTTCGTAGTTAACTTATGACAAGCCCGCAACTGAAAACCATAGAAGGAAATAACTTTAAGATTAACGCATGTCACATTTAATCTTAAAACATTAAAACCCTACCAAGAAAACCAAATATGAGCCTAACACAGAAAGTGTAAAGTTTGAGAAAATAATACCTCTGATCGTGTAGCCCCACCAACTATAAATACAAAAATACGTTGACCCATTTTCTTGAAATCACTTGATGCATGCCTCAGAATTGAATCACTACAAGAAAATGAAAGAATTCAGACTGCTAATCCCCTCAGGTGCAAGATTCGCTAGTGGGCAAATGTGCAGTGGAAAGGGAAAACCAGCACTTCCTTTCAATAATTGCCTAGTGTTGGCACAAATGATATCATGACGTATAATGGTCAGGTGCAATAAGATGTACCTTGAATAACCATCATCAGAATTTCGAGGGCGGGCCCACGTAGCCGTCCTTCTCGATCTCATTGAATGAGGTGTTGGAACTTGATTTGCTTGTACTGATGCAGACTGAGAGGTCCCATGAAAAGTTGGACTTGGATCATTCATGCAGGGATAATCATTCTTTGGTAGTTCCCCTTTACTGAGTTTTTCAACAAGTTCCTGCAAGATAAGAAAAGCTTTGATCAGTTATCTCAACCAACACAAAGCAGTGACTCTGGACCCTGATATTAGATTTTCTTCTAACTGTGGGAGCTAATAGTCATGTCCACTGAACTTTGTTCTTTGTCCCTTTTTTTTGTTGGTTTTGGTGGTGGTGGTGGTGGTGGTGGTGGTGGGTGGGGTGGGGGGATTGTGAGGGGAGAGGAATGCGGAAGCGACCTGAATTGTCAAGTATTGACATATTTGGCTTTACATCTAGAACAATGACGACCAAACATAGTCAGAATCAGCCATTCATAGATATGGTGTTTACACCCCATGTCGCCTACCTCTATCATTGGGTAAAAACGAGACAATTGCCATGTTGCTGCTTCATCGGTACGGTCTTTTCTAGCAGCGTGCTTCTTCTGTCATAAAAAATAGAACAAGGAAATCTACATCAGTAGGAGCTCATCATAAATGAAAAGCATTTCACAGCCAATCGTGTACCTTGTGAACGTCAAACTTGAGAGAGAAAGGTCCTAGTGAGCTTTTCTTATTATCCGATGATCCCTCCAGCAATCTCATATTGTACACAGCATTCATGTCATCTTGGGGCAATCTCGCCAACTAAAGGGATAAGAATGTGAATGCTCATATGTACAAAATAGTCACCATAGAATTAGAGCAGTGTTGTCAACCATTCAGAATAGTATTAAAGTAAAATCAAATAGTCAATGCAGTTCCACAAGACACAAGTTAACATGAAAAGGAATCAGAATTAAACAATGCCGATAGATGAGAATTCAAATCAAACAGCAAAATTGTGTTTTGGACCACTGAGAAGACCATAACATGCAGTAGCGACCACTTTATTTAGGTTTTCAAGCTGTTAGTAGTTCACCCAAGAATAAAAGAATCTCCAACATATGGTGATATACTTATCCGAAATAAGATATTAGAGATACAACATAAATCACCAACCTCCATTAACTTGGAGAGTTTGTCACTTTCAAGCTTCTCAGGATGAACAGCTGCATAAATCATCATTAACCGTAACTTGTTTTCCCGTGTCACATCCTGCAGACCAAAGCTAATTGCTCAGATAAACAGATCTACATTATGGAGGTCTAACAACCTATACCATCTCTACCTGATTAACCCTCAGGAAATTGATCAGATCCTTAGTTCCTGCATCTCCGAAAACAAGGTTCTGCTCTAATTGTCCAATTTCTTTTAGACTTGACTCCCTAATAATTCTGTTTAGCTTCCCAGCAATCTGGATTAGGGGGAAAAAGGCATGGTCATCACAACACACTGAAGACGTCTTCAATAAAAGATTTTATCCACCATATCCACAAACTCTAAATTAATATGTGCTCAAGTAACAGATGACCTATTAAAGGTTATTCCACCAGCACACATAAAATCAAAGAATTACTCTACAGCTACTCAGAACGTCCCCTGACCAGTCACCATCACAATGAAACTTTCCTCACCAAAGATAAACTCATAGATCACACAGAATAATGTGCTAGCTCAAGTGAAGCAATGGAAAATACAGTGTGTTTTAATACTTGCAAGGGTAAATGGATCATTGCAGCAACCTGTTCATGTGCATTTAACTTTTCTTTTTCTTTTTTCTGGATAAGATGTGGCAACGATTTATCAGAAGATGCCATCATTTTTCCGACACTTGTTAATAGTATCTGGATGTGTTTCTTATATATGTCTTCCTCTCTATCTAATACAACAGAGTTTGAGTAGGTATAAGAAGTGAGTAAATCTGACTAGCATCTTAGAGGAATAAGAATAAAAATTGAGTGGAAGACAGAATCAACACGTCTTGCACTCTTAGGGATAATAGATGTTGATCAAATATATTTCACCTCCATTTTTTATGTTGTTTAAGATAGTTTTGACTAGGCATGCAAATTGACTTAATTTGACTTGCTTTGACTAGGCATGCAAATTGACTTAATTTGACTTGCATTTTATATAAGTAGAGTAATGTTAATATAGTTGGAAAAATAATAAGGAAAATTGGATTAGATGAAACATGTTAGCATACAATCCCAAATGCCTGTAGTCTTTCATAAACAATTTCTAAAAATTTAGATGATAAAATTACACAGAGCAAGAGCCTACAGCAGTTCACAATAAGGCTTAATGAATTACATAAAAATTGTCTCTTATAGCATCTTTAGTTGCTTTACATTCAAAAGTGCAGATAAAGCATCAAATTTCATACTTAAAAAATCTAACCACCGAGTGAAATTTTCAGAAGACTCACATCAACATGGAGGGAGAGCTTCTCAATTTGTTCACTGTATTGAGGTAAAGCCTGAACCATCTTTTGCAAATCCCGTGTAGATAATTGACCACCGTCTCTACAATTTCGAGAAAAAGTGGAGTAAGCAACATAACCTATCAGAGTTAGAATCTAAAGAATAAATGGATAAGACGTTTTCTAGTAGATGAAGATAGCCTAACAGGTGTCCAACTTGTAAATATAAAGTTTTCGATTTAGATTGCTACAGCATCTCATATACTCTCAGGTCACCCATTGTCCGAATCAACTAGAATCCTAGATACTTACATCCCAGATATCACTTCTTGCAGATTGCATAGATTTTTTATTTGTATCATGACAAAGCATTTTCCCAGACGCATTAAATTGAGAAAGTTCAGAAAAGATCTCATAAACTGCGTAATTGCGACTGACCTTGAACCTTGATGCATTTGAGCAGCTTTATTCTTTGACACAAAGTTTGTCATCTTCTCATGCA